TATCCAGTGGGCTAAGGCCGATCCCACCCTCCTTTGGGGTTGGCCTTACCCCCAACCGATAGAAAAGATTCTGGCGGGAAGCTTTCTTTGCACGGGCATGCCCAGTGTTAAGGAGAGGAGGAGGGGAACGAAGATCTCCTAATTTTTTCGGGTAATACAAGTAAAACACTGACCGTGGGATCACGACTACTGCACGGCAGGATTGGGGTCACTCAACTGCCCCACAAACTCGTTTCTATCCTATCCCGCTGCTAGTGGGACCTCGCCCCTGCTCACGTATCAGCGGCCCAATGATCTTGTTTCTCTTCCATTTCCATCAGTTATTATATCATCAAATTTGATAAAATATTAAATAAATTGTTGATTGTTTACTATGACATTATTTCCATTTTTTTTGGTTCTCGTTTTATAAATTTATTGCTGTGCGTTGGCTCTCGTTTTTTTTTTTTTTTTTTCTCTTTTATATTGGCGTTCGCCCATAGGCAAACGCGTTCCAGAAATTCTCAGCGGCCTGAGGGGGGTTGGAATATAGTTTTCAACCAGCAATAGAGGCGTCTCCGTTAGCCCTCACGGACTGCGTCATTGGCCCAAGCGCAAAGATGTGGCTCTCGATTTAGCGAGTTCCTTTCATTTCTCAGGTCAGGCGAGAGATAGACCACTGGATCCTCCGATCGGCATTGAGCAGAGTCTGCTGATGTTTCTAGGGGAGGGGACCTGAGGGGAGGCACAGGGATTGGTCCTGTTGGCATGGTCCCTGATGCTTCTGGCTGTCACCTAGCCGGTATCGCCCACCTGCAGGTCGGGAGCAGCCCCTGCATGTTCTCGTGAACACGGTTCAGCCCCTGCATGTTCTCGTGAACACGGTTCTGGCTACTACAGGGTTCCCCTATGCCCACAATTAGGAGTAGTGGTAGGTAGGTAGTGTGAGGTGAAATTGAGAGAAGAACATAGCTTTTAAAACAAAAAGATCAGGCCAGGCTAGATCACCATGGTCCCACTAGCAACGGGAATTGGATTAAGATGATCCTGAATCTGGGCGTGTTTTAGGCAGAGATGCAGAAAAGGAGTTCAATCTTGATTTTTTGCACTTGTCGACAAACGCCGCCAGATTCAGGCGTTCAATCCAATCCTCTTTGCGAGTGGGACCTCGCCCCAGGGTCGAGGTCCCACCTGCACGGATTAAGGCTGGGGCCCCAGAGGGATGCGGAAAGGAAAAAGTTTGCCGCCCAAGTGTGTATCGGAGAAGCCGAAATGTCTTCCAAAGACTGTTTTCTGGGACCGTGCAGCCCGCATTTTGTGGCCTGGGAGATGGTGTTTTGGTGTTTGCACATTTTCACATCATCCGCCGGCTGGAAAAGGCTGTCGGAGTAGGAAATTCCTCTGCAAAAGCAGAGGATGACTGTGGGTGCCATCTTCAACTTTTCCAAGGTCAGGTCCCATTGTGGGACCATATGGCAAGGACCCCACTGCAGTGCGGGTGGAAAAGACGTTTGCCCATGGAAAGAGGGCAAGTCATTTTGGAAAGTCGGAAAGTACTTTTTCCAGGACCCCATGGCAGAGGACCAAATGCGGTTGGAAAACCCTTTGGAAATCAGTTGAGCCAACCGTTGCCTGTTTCCATTGCGCTCGTTTGTTTTGTTCGTTTTTTCCATTTTTTTTTAATTTTTTTTTTTGGTGGCACTCTTCATCGCTATTGGCTGCTGCCTCCCGCGAGACTTTTCCAGGCCGCGGACTATGTGACAACACAAAACGATGTTTTTCCAAGCTGCAATCTTCGGTCTGTGGAGTCCTGGAAAAGGGTTTGCGGAAGAAATTTCATCTTTTGCAGGACGTTTGCGGCAGGCTGTGGGGTCCTGGAAACAGTTTTGCGGCAAAGTTTTTCCTTTCCGCGGTCCTGTGGGGTCCTTGCCATAGAGTGTCTGCACATGAATCGTCCGCCCCGTGTCACCCACAATCCACACCACGGCCCGTTCCTCAGGTCCAGCCATGGCCTCCTGGACACCCCGCACATTTCCTTTTTCGACCACTACCCAGAGGGACCTTTTCCTCTTAGGGGGGGAAAAAAAACGCTTTGCCGCAAAACGTACTCTGCTATGGGGTCCCGGAAAAAATAATTTCCGACTTGCCCTCTTTTCGTGGCCAAACGTCTTTTCCATCCGCACTGCAGTGGAGTCCCAGCCTAAGAGACACTGGCCTTAGATCTTGATTACTTCTGAAAGGAAAGAATCTTCTTAAAAAAAAAAAGAAGGGATAATTTGCAAAATATCCCCATAAGTTGAGGTATATGCCAAAATGCCCCTAAAAGATGTGGGTAGAGCGGAATGCCCCTCTGACAAAAATAATATTTTGTGAAATACCCCTGGCATCGGTTGTACCCCCAACTTTGCAATAGAAATAATATATTGAGAAATACCCCTGGCTTCGGTTGTACCCCCAACTTTGCAATATACCCCAACTGGGTACCGTCCAACTTTGCAAAATGCCCCAGTACTTGCCAACGTTTCCTAGGGGCTGTTGCAAAAGACCAAGGCCCAAACGGGGAGGTTCAGATTGCAAAGTTGCACAACCGTCTGACAGGGGCACAACACAAACATTTCGGCCCACAAGGGCATTCTGCTCTACCGACAGCTTTTAGGGGCATTTTGGCATATATGTCAACTTATGAGGGTATTTTGCAAATTATCCCAAAAAATAAATAAAAATCCTTATATTTACGATGCTGGTAATCAGCCCCAGCGTCCCTCCCATCATTCGGGGCGACCTTCAGGAATGAATCGGGGATCTCTGGGCCGGGGGAAGGGCATAATCCTTCCTCTCTCTCTCTCTCTCTCTCTCTCTCTCTCTCTCTCTCTCTCGGGAAGGGCATAATCCTCTCTCTCTCTCTCTCTCTCTCTCTCTCTCTCTCTCTCTCTCCCCTGAATTAAATCTGTGCAGGTAGGAGGACCTTGCCCTAGGAAGGGGTTCATTGAATGCAATATCATTTGGGGTCATTCTCGTTGTGCGTTCTGTCCCTCCGGAATTTTTTACTCATGAAGGGTGAATCGAGGAAGGGGGCAAGGTCCCACTACCTAGCAAAGAGGATTGGATTAAACTCCTGAACCTGGATGTGTTTTCAGCAAAGGTGCAGGAAAGCAGTTCAATCTCGATTTTCTGCACCTTTGCACAAACACATCCCGATTCAGGCATTCAATCCAGTCCTCTTTGCTACTGTCGTGGGACCTCGCCCCAAGACTCCTTACAGTTCTACCGGGAAATATATATGCTGAGCCCTATTATTATTAATTTATTATTAGTGTTAAGCTTTTTTGTTTGTAATGGTCTGATTTCTGCGGGATTCGAACTCGCGTTGAAATAAAGAAACAAAGATTCTGAATACATGCGTGCACCATTCAGCTACAGACTTCTTCTTCTTCTTCTTCTTCTTCTTCTTCTTCTTCTTCTTCTTCTTCTTTTCCTAGCAATCGGATTCGAACTCACGTTCTGTCAGCCACAGACTTAATATCCCCACCCACACAGATAGCAATCATACAAGCTATCCCAGTCTCATGGGTAGATATTCTCAGAAGACCGAGCCAGGACTATGAAGAACTGCAGTGGTGGAAGGTCCCGACAATGTCCTCCTTTATCAGAATCGAGAAAGTAATGGGGAATGGACAGGTGGAAGTAACAGAATGGGAACTCTCAGGCTCGCGGTTGGTGCAGGCACAAGGAGATACAATAGTGAAGACTCCAGTGGGATGGGAAAGGATCGGCGTAACTCGAAAGAAAGGACAGGGAGGGAATAATGAATTCCAGGTATTACTGGAATCCAAACCAGTCTGTGAATGGAAAGTGGATGTGGACAAAATCGTTGGAAAATAACAGGCACAGCAGGGGTTACCTCGACAGTACCACTCACAGACTACTCATCCAAGATTGGGTACACGTTGCAGACTGAGGGCCATGAGCTGCAAGCGAGCCTGAAGATTGGATGGGTAAATAGGTGTA